TCCCTCGGCCTGTTTTTGCTAAAATGCCTAATGGAATTAAGGTGTCTCATGTTTTTTTCATTAATACTGCTGTGTTAATGAAACTGCCAAGTTCTTCCCTCTGTTAAAGAAACGCAACTAAAGGCAGTTGTCTTGCCCAGAATACACTAATGGACACAAGGTCACCATTTGTATTGTAAAACAAATTTGACCTTTTTCAGTTCTTTAAATGTTGTCTAAAGTTAATGCAGATCTCTCCTTAGAGTGGGAATTTGTTTAAATGGTTTGAAGGATAATATTTTATAAAAGCATTGCACACATGCATAGCTGTAAAGTCTGGGAAAACAACACTATTTAGTTTATTTTTAACTCCTCAGTTTGAGTGCAGGGTAACTTCTTTCAGAGGCTAATACCTACAGAGCAGAAGGAAGGTGTGCCTTTTCCGTGTGCACATTTTATTGCCGGTGCCAGTTTAGGTGCCTGGTTGGGGGTACCAAAAGTGGTAGAAATTCAGTATAAAGGTGTTAGCACAACCTGACAGCCAGAATGCCAGTCCAGGCATCTAAAGAGCCTGTATGCAGATTGGTAGCAGTGGCCCAGACTTTATCTGGGGGTCTTTACATAAAAGCTGGATAAGGAGAGCGAGAGCATGAGCATGAGCAGGCACATCTTCCTTTGGCCGTGTAGATGCAACAAATTGACCAAGAAAAAAACTCTAGAAATACTTTAGAGCTTAAAATAGAAGTCTTACAAAGATTGTTTTCTTTAAAAGGCTGTGTCCAGTGCACCGTGTTTCCTGGCTTTTCATTGCATGGGGATACATGAGCATGTACATTAAGTAGACCCTGACCTGGCCAGCACATCAGGACGCAGTAACTCTGCCGAGTAGAGCTGTACCTGTGCTGAAGTGCTGGGAGCAGTAGGGCCCTGTTGCCGTGTTTTCCAGAAGGCAGCTATTTTGCACCAACTGGTCATGCTCACAGAGTTTCCAGAGAACCATTTTAGCGAGAACCTTTTTACAGTGTTGGTTTTTGGTTTTTTAACTTTATAAGAAAAATTAAAGAGACTTATTGCAAGCATGACAAATAATACTAACAGAAATTAGGGAGAAAGAAACAAAAACAGGACTCCGACTACTTGTGACTCTTCTAAATCAATGTATCTGTACATCCACCCTCTTGAACTCCATCTGTGTGATGTGGTGCATGTTAGTGCCAGGCTTCACTGCTCTTACCATCTCTGGTGTAAGAGATGGTGTGCGCGTAGCACCCAGGGGAGAGCTCAGGACTGTGGCAGGGCAGGGTACTGCACAGGAGCTGGGGTCTACAGCACACCACCCACCCTGGCTCCATCACCAATTTGCCCTGGGGCCTTTAACTACTGAGGGAGTCCTTGGGGTTTTTAGGCTGGTTACATTGAGAGTGTCTGCAGATGTCTTCCTTGGAGAACAAAAATGGCAACTACTCTATTCCCTCATGAACCAGGGGCATTCAGTCCTTCTGAAGATTGGGCTCTAAATGTTTAACGATTAGATCCTAAAATTAGAGACCAGTGCTAGAAATCTGGATTTTTACTGCAACCGGCCACACGTCTCCATGGCCACATACCTCATTGTAATTTCATGGCAGTCACTGGAGCTGTGTCAAATACAGCTGAGGATCCCACTCAGCATCTCATGTCGTTATGTTAAAATGAGGATGATGATACCTGCTCCCAAAACCACCTGTTAATAAAAAGAAAGTATTTGTCATGCCATAGCATAAGTACTTCCCTGCAGTATTTATCTAGAACTATGGGAGAATGTCAATGCTGCCGTTCAGTAATTGATGATTTATTAATGGTGCATGGGGTTACTTACCCCAAAAAAGGGCATGTAGAAACAATTAATGTTTCTACAGTGCTTTAATGATGCTAAATGTACACACTGTTGTCTGTCCAGTAACATAGCATAAAGTCCAAAGATAAGTTTAAAATGTACATAATTTTTACTTGAATAAACTAAGAGAAACTGGATATTACCTTCATATTTGCTTGAAGATAACAAGTGGACAGAAATCAACTGCATTTCCACAATGGGACAATGAAATCAACTTTTGGCTGCTCTGTTCTCTGGTACCACAATGGGTGGTTGTGCTGCAGTGCCTGCCGCTTTAAAAATTTGAAATCTGTTTTGCACTGTAATCTTCTTCTCCCAGTCACTCTCATCTTTCTCAAACAAATTCCTTTTATGATCCTATTTTTCATCCTCTCTCTCAGGCTAAATATTCTTAGAGTGAAATTAGTAGATTTCTTTGCATGAGGATAAAAACCTTCCAACAATTTTCTCCCAGGTTTTAAGAAGAAATTTGATGCTGAGATAAATGACCAAAGATAGAGATTCCAGACTTGGCTTGTTTAGAAAAACTCAGACTTAAGAAGTTGTCCTGGAAGAACTAAATAAGGACTGCTTTGTTAGAGCTCATAGCGAAAGAAGCCCTACAGCTTTTGAGCTTCACAGGAGAGATGCTTCTATTGTTGAGCAGACTTTTTTGGAAATGTGCTGGGGAAAAAAAAATTTACATCCTATATACATATTTTTATTATGTGAATCAAAAAAGCTTCTCTTGTATGGCTTCATATTTTAGGGATTCAAATGCCCTGGAGGCTTTCTAGGGTATATTTATACAGTAGGATAATTTCAAAAATATACTAAAACTGTTGAACAGGGTGTGCTAGTTATAAAACAGTTGTAAGACATCTCTCACGTATAAGTGTGTAG